AAAATATAGCTATATGAGCGTTCAGAAGGATCTGAATGAAAATAGAGTCAGAGAGTTTCATATTTGAAAAACAAGGAGAAAGAGAGAGAGGGTATTCATCATATTTCTAAATAAGGTGAGAAAGTTGTCGAAAAAGTTGGTGAAAGCGTTATTGATGAAACTGACAAGAACGGAATGTTTTCGATGAAAAACTAATTATTAAAATGAATACAAACGTCAAATAAGGAATAAAATTACAATGGCTGTTGGACAAAGTGGATCATTGAATTCTCTATTGCACTTGCGTCCAAATTGGGAAATAAGAAAAAAAGTTTGTTGTAAAGGATGAGTAAATTGAAACTTGGAGCTTCTTTAAACCTGGTGAGCCAATGAGACACATGCGGGGGCTATCTATAAGAGGGATATAATAGAAGGAAAGAGAGAGAAAGAAATATGAGAGAGACAGAACGGGAGAGAGGGGGACATAGATACGATTTTCCATTTAAGGGTTCCTAAGCTAATCTAAAGTATTCAAACGGATCAGCTTATGTTAGTGTGAGAACTTAAGAATTCGCATATCAGCTCTGTGGCGAAAACCGTAAAGGAGATTCATTTAAACATTTTCTTTCTAAGATAATCCAAGAGAATACGATTATAAGCGATATTCCGTATAAGCTTTGATCAATCGGATTCTCTTGATAGCTGGATAGAAAGATAATAAACAGAAGCTGAGGAATAGTCAGTAGAAGAGTGAAGCTCAGTGTTAAGAATCAAAATGTTGAATGGAAGAACAAGATGAGCCGAAGAACAAGTAGGTTAACAGGATATGAACACGAAGTATGTAACATGATCTGCAAAGTTTTTTTTCTTCTCCTTCTTGTTCAGCTTTCTACAAGATCTATCAAGATAAAATTAAAATTAGTGAAATGAAGAGAAATTGTTTTGTTAGAATAGGGTTGGAACAGCTCTCCTCCCCAACTAAGGAACGAAGTAGTTTGCAGCTTATAAATGTTAAATTAAGATGATTGTTTGTTTCTTAACAAAGGCGATGTTTTGGTATGAGAAATTCTTTTTTCGAAAAAAAGAAGAAGAAGAAGAAGGGTAAAATCTTTTTTTGTGTGTTGAAATTCGAAAAAAGGAGAATCAGAGTTAGAGAAAGAGAGGATGAGAGCCAAAAAAAATCTTTTTTTTTTTGTATTTCTGATGTGAAAGACGATCAGATTCTTCATTTAACTAAATGAGATAATTGAAAAACAAAATACTATATAAATAGATGTAAATTAACTATAAAATAATTCCAAAATATTCTTAAAAACAAGAAAAAAGAACAAAAAATATCGAAATTTATGTAAATTTTGTTGTTTCAAAAAGGGAATGGGATGTACAGGTAAGGGTGAAGATCATATATAAACACTTGAATGCATTCCTTTTTCCCTTTCTTTGTAGTCCTTATGCTTACATGTAGTCAGGAAAAACAATATTTCCGTTTTGCTGTTATCATATGACTTTTCATTTCATGTTTAAAAGAGGACGAAAGAGGTGAAGAGAGAGAGAAAGAGAGTGAATGAGGAGGAGGTAGAACGATGAAAAGACTTTTCTCTCCATTTTTGATTTTGCTTTTGATTACAAAAACAAAGCAAGAAAAGAAGAGAAATGAAAAGCTCTATGTTTCATATGGCCCACCATAAAGGCTCATATAGGAAGAAAGTTGTCGAAGAAATTGGACATGTACTAACTCATAAGAGACACGTCTGATATGTCACAGCTTTGTGATTGAGGCGAATAAGAAAATATGAAAGTGCGCAACGAAAACCTTTTTAGGAGATTTTTATTTTCTCATCCTCTCTAGCTTTCATATTATCTCTCATACATCTCTGATGACTCCTCCCCCTTTTTCTTTTTGTTTTACAAGCTTGTTCATAATTTGTAAAGTTAGAAAAAAGGACTTTTTTCATCTTATACATGAAAAACAGGTGTTCCCAAGGCAAAAACGACTCCAAAGGCTCCTTATCCTTCGGATTAAATTACAAACCAAAAATTTAAATAAAGAAAAAGAGCAAAAATCTCTGTAAATGCAAACAATCGTTATCAGGTTGTTTGAGAAGAAAAAAAATCGAAAAATACATTTGAAAATGAGTTTGATATTGGGAATTCAGAAGAGATTGTCATCATTTGATTTGAATGAGAATGAAGAAGGACATAAGATTGAAGATTGGAGAAGGAGGGGAGAAGAAGAAGTGTAGAGGTTGATATGAGTGGATATGGTTAGAGAAACATTGAAGAAAAAGAAGAAGAAAAAGAAGAAGAAAAAAGAATCTGAAAGATCTAATTGCCTGCAGAATTACATCTAAGCCATTCTAGCGATGCTGATTATTTCATAAAATTTTCATGAAAAAAACATTTTGAACGGTTCAAACTTTTTTTTTCTTCTCTTTCGAATGACTAAAAAGGCATTCGACTAAAACAAAAAGGAAACAATGTTGAGAATAAAAGTAAAAAGGTGAGTTGAAGGACTTTGTGTTGAGTAAATGTATGAATGAGATGAAACTCCACCAACGTAGTAAAGAGTCACTGAGAGAATGAGAGAAGGATAGAAACAATCTCATAAGGCAATTTACTTGTGCAACTAGTGCGTTGTATAGCAATGATATGAAAAATAAGATTTCATCTGAGACTATTCTGATGGTTAGTAAATTCTGTTAAGTCAAGTGCTAAAGTACATGGATGAACAAGCAACTGATGCCCGGAACACGTAAGTGAATTGGAAATTCATACAACGCCAAGTTTGAAGCAAAAAAAAGAAACAAAAAACAGTATTGAATGCGAAGAGGATTAGAGCTGGAAAAATGTTTCACAGAGAGAGAAATGTAGAGAGAGAGAGAGGTGGACAAGAATATTTTGGGGAGGATTTCTGATTTGTAGAGAAAGTGAGAGGATACGTGAGAAATATAGGGGAGCAAAGAGAAAAATAGGAAAGACCCTCTTTGACTCAAAGAGCAGTCAACTACATGCAGCTTATGCTCTAAGCAATATAAGGCAGGATATTCATTTCAAACTTAGTGTTGTTTATGTTTCAGAGAGAAAAAGAAAAAGGATGAATTGAGAGGGAGCTGCAGGTAACTGATGTTTGAGAGTTTAAAGAGAGCCGGATAGATAACGAGGGGTAGAGGTTCTTAAGAGAGAATGAGAAGGACGAGCTTGTTTGTAAAAAAACCCAAAACTCATGAAAGTAACTCAAACTTTTCATGACGTAAAGCTTTTTTATGATTTTTTTTCAAAATATTGGATTTAAATTGGCTGGATGAAAATAATCAAGACATTCTCATTGTCAGGGAACTTAGGTCAACCGAAGATGAGACTCCTGGGATTTCAAGACAAACTCTTTATAAAGCAGAAACAGATGACGATCAAGAAGACAGACTAAAGGACCATTCTCAAACCTAGAATGCAAAAGGTTTTCAAGAGGGCGGAACAAAAGTTGCAATTGAAATTTATTTTTTATTCTCATTTCATTGGCAGATAGAAAATGAGGTGAAGATTGACTTTTCTCTTTAATTTGTTCTTTTATAAGAACAAAGAGAATGTGTGTGTTTGTGTGTGTGTGTGTGTTCAATCGTCAACACATTACAGATGTTTCTGAAGAAAATACATAGCAGTTTGAGTTTTTTTCTTTATTGACTTCACTAGCTCATCCATTTCGCATCATTTAATCATCGTAATCTTATAATTTCTAACGTAAAATCATAAAATTAACCATTTTATAAATAGACGAATGAAAGAGACAGAAAATAACTAGCAGTCACAGAGAGAGAAAGAAAGAGAGAGAGAGAGGGAGAGAGAGAGGGAAGAAGGATAAAAGAGAGAAGGAGAAGGAAAGGAATGAGATGAGCGAATGAAAGATCATGTCGAAGGAGATCTGAGTCTCATCTGTCCACAGGGAATCCCAAGCTCCATTCTTTTTCTCTTCATGTTAAAGTGTGGACATGAAGCTTTTCCTTTTCCTCTTTTTCTCTCGTTATTATGTTTTTGCCTATTTAAGCTAGAGCTAGAACTTCTTTCGTTCTCCGAAGGTTTTTATGGTTGAATAGTATGTTAAGAGATGAAAGTATGAATACAAGTAAAGAAGATATGAATCATTTGGCAAACCTTTTTATTCTCTTCTTTTTTAGGTGAAAAAAAGTGATGAAAACAGAGGAAAGTTCAGATATGAGACAAAGATTTTTGTGGCTTTGTTCTTCTCGGAACAACGAACATCAATGAGAAAGAGAGGGAAGGAGGGGGTAGAGGATGGAGATTCATTGAAAATTTACGTTCCGAAAGTCTTCTGAAATTTCAATTTTACAAATTTGCCATTACGAATGATCAGCAGAAAAAAATGAAATTGATGTTCAGAAGAAAGAGAAGGAGGAGCAGAGGAAACTGAACGAATAAGATGATTTTTGCTCAGCCATTTGTCTGATATGAGGATTCATTACGAGACAGTTATCAAGAGATTTGCAGGCAAAAAAAGTTTCAAAAGAGAAAAGGAAGAGAAAGAAAGTCTGAAATGTAATTTCAAAAAAGAAAATGAAAAATAAAGAAAATTGGGAAAAACACAACCGTTCCACACGTGAGTAATTGAAAAAATAACTCGAAAGAAGCTCACGTGAAAAACCGTTACGTGGAAATCAGATTAGCATATTGCAGAAAAATTAGTTTAAAAGCTTAAGCTTAAAACTGGAAGAGATTTATGCAAGGGACAATTGAAGTAAGAGAGTAAGTTGAGTAAGAAGAGAGATAAAGAGAGAGAGAGAGAGATTGAAAGAGCAAGAACTGATTGGAACAGAAAGAGAGGTACATATACAAGTTTAAATTAATGAATAGAATAAAATAATTATTTTTATTTACTTACGTTCATTCGAATGAGTGTCTTTTCTTAAATATAATTTTCAACCTGAACACGAGATCGAACTTTACCTTTTGTTTAATTATTATGTTTTATTTATATTTTTATTGTATAGACTGTTGATAAATGAACTGACCTTATCAATTTCTCCAAACTGCCCATAGCTTGTGGATTATCTAATAGCTCTCGTATAGTTTCCTGATCAAAGTTATCGTGAAGATATCCAGTTGAAGCTAAATCTACGACGTCCGAATTACTTGAAAGTGAGGACACGGATGAGGAGTTATCCTCTTCGTCTCTGAAAAATTGAAATATCAATTGAGTTATCAAGTTATGTGAATGGAACACCAATAAGAATATCTCTTTTTCATTCTGATAATTGTGAGTGAATATAGAATAAATAAAAAACAAAAACTTTTAACAAAATCTTTTCGTAGCAGAACACATTATGTCCACTTAAGAAGATATTGCCCGAGGCTATTGAGGTAAGTCGTCTTATTCAGCTTATTCTTGTTGGGATGGGTGGTAGAGTGAAGATTATTCGAAGGCAAATCTATTTTTAGATTTAAAAAAATGAAAAAATGAGTTAAATAGTGATGGATACTAAAATCGTGATCAGCATGAGCATTGGGATGTGTTGTTTCGGATGAGAAATATTGTGTTTTTGGAGAAAAAAAATATAGCGTTGTATATCAAAAACGTCAATTATCTGATGAAAAATTAACAAGAGGAGAATAGCTGCAATCAGGATTCATCATATGAGGTGTGGATAGCAGAAAATAATTTGTTCAAAGAGTCAAAGTTTAGAATAATAAAGAGAGAACCTTCTCTTTACCTCCTATGACTTCTATTTTTTTTTTACTAAACAAGTCATTGAAAGCACGATGAAGCTGAGCAATATGTTTGAGCCGTTACTTGGATAGAGAAAGAAAATAACTTAAAAGGGGAACAGTTGAAGATAAAACGAATAGGATAGAAGAGTGAGAGAGAGAAAAGAAGGAAGAGTTAGTTAGGAGGAAAAATAAAAAAAAACCAAAATTAATGAAAACAAATAAAAATGTAGTCGTTCTTCTAACCATCACCACAATACGCACATTTTGTTTTACCATAAAAGGTAATAAAGCTTGACAATGCATTTTGTTCGAAGAGGGTAACGATGAACAGATTTTCTCCTTTCTCTGTCTACTTTCCTCCTGTTTTGTATTGCTCTCTACATTTGATATGCACACAATAAGTTGTCGTTCACCGAATAAAAGATGCATCGGAAGTACATGATGATTCTAATGGATGAAGGAATGCCACATAGAAGTATCTTAACCTTTTTACCTTTTGAGGCTTTTAGTCATCTTTTCCCCCTCACTACCTCCCACCCCTCATTTTGTCATCTCTTCACATAGACATTAGCAGAGTATTTTCTTAAGTCGGGCCTCACAAACCCAAATATAGAAAAACAGAAACAGAGAGGTAGAGATGAAAAGAGAGAAAGAAAGAGAGATAGAGAGTTAGTACGAGAAATAAATAAAAAAGACTTCCATAGTGATCTTCGCATAAAATTCATAAAAACACGTGAAGATTCATAGCAGACAGCATTCAGTATTCATCTTTCAGAAAAATCTGGGCATTTTCTCAACTTCCTTTACGACATGTATCTCTCTCTCAGCAATTAGTCAAAAAAACCATTTCTTAACATCCATCTTCTCATAGTGAAACAGTTGCAGATGGATAGATATTCCCAAATTATCTCCTTAATTCATATAACGCTACTATGAGGTGTCAGAATTTAAGTTATTGAATGAACGAGAAAGAGAGAGAGAGAAAAAAAATTGATTTTAAGCTTGTTGTTTGTCAAAAATCTAGTGAAGGTCTTGAATAAAAAAACTTGAACCTCGAAGAAGCCGATTTCTTCTTCAATGAGTTAGATATCATTCAAACTCAAGGAGTTTGACACGATCTATGTTCATCAACCTCAAAAACAACCTTTTCCAGAGATATTGAAACAGAAAGAGAATGTAAAGGAAGAAGGTAGGCAGTAAATGAGCGGAAGAAAAGAAAATGAATGTCATTTCAATCTTTTTTTAAATTGGCAGAGGATAAATATGGAAAATGAAATAAGGAAAGCCTCCAGGTTTTCGCCTGATTGACTTTCAACCTTAGTAGGAATAAACGAGAACGATAGGAATTCGACAAATATTTCTTCAAGAAATTGCTCTAAATGTGTTCATTTATTAGAAAAAAAAAGTTTTCTCCCCTTCCTTCTTTTATTTTTTTTTGCTCACAAAAAAAGAGAGCTTGGAAGTTGAAGTTGATGCAAGTTGTTGGTGTTTCATTTCTATTTGCATCTTGCTCGCTGGTCACCTTCGTTTAGAATGAAAACTGTAGGAATAATTAATTTTTTAAGACATTCTTAATGATGCTTCTTCTGTGAACAACAAAACAGACGAGTGACAGCTTTTAAACTTAAAATTTATTTTATTTTTCCTGTCATTGCCGTTCGATGAATTTGGCAGTTTAACTCAACTTGTGATCCTCATTTCTTCTTCCTACATATAGAAGAGAGAAGTGGAATTCGTGTCCTATCCATAAAGGAAAAGAGACGAGAAGAGAAAGAGAAAGAAAGAAGGTTAAGAGATCTGAGTATAGAGAGAGTTGAAAGTTGCAGTAGAGAGGTAAAGCTAGAGAAAGTTATAAAAAAAAGTAGATTTAGAGATTTAGAGAGATAGAGAGAGGGGGAAAGGGAGTAGGAGTAAAGCAAAAATGACAAAGAGCTTTGTCAGTTCATGTGTGCTTGCATAGATGGGAAAAACCTCATTTTGTTCCCTCTCATTACGTTTCTCTTTTCATTTCATTAACCTCTTCTTCACTGTCGATAAAAGTGACAGGTAAAATTGAAAAACAGATAAATAGGGAAAAGCTAAATGTCAACTGGAAGTTGTGAAAGTGAAATTTGTCAAGTATGGAATTAGTGAAAGAATAATTAGCACAAAATGGACAAGAAGGAAAGAAAAAAGTTATTGAAAGAAGAAGATGAAGAAGAAGAAGCAGAAGCTGAAACGAATAGATTCAAAGCTTCGAAATGAATAATACAATTTGTTTTGAAAAGTAATTTGAGGTGAAGAGATAAAAATTATTTTGTGAAATGAATGAAGATAAACTATCGTCATTTTATCAACATTTGTTTCATATTGATAGCCAACAAATGTGTGAAAAAAAAGAAGCAAAAGCTGATGAAGATTGTAATGAAGTATCGAAGTGTCGCTGAAGATGGATGAGCTTTAACTCATCTTCAAACATTTTTTTTCATCTTATTTTTCCAATAGAATTATGCTGCTATTCTCATTCTCTACATGTAATAAATGGAAACATAATGTCGTTTATGAACAAAAACGAACAAAATCTTTTCTTTTTTTCATCAAAAACATCTGGGCAGATGACGAGAATGAGAAGAATGGGGGATGAAGAATATGAGAAATTAAACGATTCTCTTCTTCCTCTCTCGGCTCTATCTGTGTTGTTCATGCCACTCTCTACCATCAACTACCACTAGCACCAGATGAAGAGTTCAACAGTTGATTTCATTTTGTAATTATTAACATTTAGAAGAAGCAAAATGAAGCTGAAAGAAATAGAACGAAAGAGAGAGAGAATGGGAATAGTTTCTACAAGAAAACATGGAACATGTAGGTTTGTCAAAGGAAAATAGTCCAAAGCATATAAAAGGAAAGCTGAAAATCACTTAACTTTGAACAAAGAAATTCATTTTATGGCTAAAAAAGAAAAACATTCACTTTGAAATAAAAAAAAGCGAAAAAAAAAGTTTGACGAAGGCAGAAGAGAAAAAAAAAGAGTTGAAAAGTGAGCGTGAAGCGTTTACAGGTCAGAACTTGACAATGATTAAGTGAATGCAACCGCTCTTCACGCAAACATCACGAGAAATGAGAAGATCTTGTACGTTCACAGCTCTTTCTCTATGTCACACGTAGTTATTGAACGACAAAAATTAGAATATAAAAGTGTTGGTTGTGTGAAGCACAATCCGAACGTTGACATCATATTGAAGTTTAGATTTATCTTGTGTGAGAAATGAGAAATCAAAAAAAAATTGAAAAAAACGAAATGTCTTGACAGATGCTCACAAATGATTTTGGAAGTTTTGAAGTATTTTCTGTTTTTTTTTGTCCATCCAACTGTTTAATTTGAGACTATAAATTATAAAAAGATTGAGCATTGATGAGAGGACATGAACATGAAGAAGATGAATATATACTTTTGCATTGGAGGACAAATGTAATGAGAAGAAGAAGAAGAAGAAGAAGAAGCAAAACTAGGATGTTTCATAATATATATAGAACACCTACCACTCGTTGTTCTTCCACTCAGTATATGACAAGATACATCTCATCTGGATGGACAACTCAAAACATGACAAGTTGATAAAAGACTCAAAAATTCAGAATTAACGACTGATCTCTTTCTGTTAGTTTTTTTTCAGTCTTTTCAGTCTTCAACTCTATCTATGTGTCACATAAGAAATCTACAAAAAGTTTGAAATGTAACATAGAGGATAGATGGCAATGAGTTCAGAATGCTTTTCTGTGTATGGAAGGGTAAAGCTAAAATCGCATTTTTTTTCTTCAAAAAATTATCTGAGAAAATTTCGAATAGAGCATAATGTGACTTGATGCTGTTGTTGTATAAAGAAATGAGATCTTACAAATAGAAATTCACGTTAAGCTATCTGTGGTTCAGAGGGCTGACATGCAAAAATCTGAAACACGAGAAGACCAAGTGCTAGAAAGAGACTAGAGAGAGAGTGAAACATAGAAAAGAGAGAGGAGGGAAACGAGCTCTGTATCTTTCTAGTCCACTTTTTCTCTGTTTCACTCTCTCTTATCCTTCTTACAGCTCTTACGTTTCCCTCCCTTTTCCTATAGTTTTCTCTCTCTCTCACTCCTATTCTCTCTCTATCTCCCACACAGGAGATATCTGTAACTTCTCGTGTCGTTTGTTTCTCCTTTTATCCATCACTGAATAAGCCGTGACAGACAACCATATTGTCTTCCTCGTACTCTTCTCCTTTTTTTCTTGTTCATACTCGTCTTTAAGATGGACAGAATTCGTCACTACAAGTCATCAGCTTTTTCTCGTTTATTCTCTCCAGGATTGACAGGAAAGCAAAAATTAACATTTTCACCTCTCACTTTCATTTTTATTTTTCTCTCTCTCTCCTCCGCCCTCCTATATCTTCATCTCTTTCTCTCTCCATCTCTCCCTCTCGATCTGTGAAGTTTTTCTTCTCATTTTACATGAACGTTAAAAATTAATGATATCGATAATCAAAAATCAGTCTCTCTCATCCTTAAAAGGCAACTTATAAAAAGGCGCATGCTTCTGAAACACAAATGACTTCCTCCTCGTTTTTCTGACGGAATCACGACCGGATGAGCTTTTTATTGACCGGAAAAAAAGTATTTTCCTGTCTAGGTTTTTTTTTAAGTATTACAAGTAAAAAAACCAAATAAGGAAATTGTTGAGATTGAACGTCTGACGGAAATGGTGAAAACGTTGATGGAAAAGCAGGTAGTTATGAGGGGGAGGAAAAAAAGGTTTTCTTCTATTATTTCTATAATTGAATGGAAAATCTAGAAGATATGAGAAGTTCGATATAGATGACTAAAAATTTTTAAAGAAAAAAAATTAGAATAAATAAGCTGAGAATGAACTGAAATGCTGGAACGATGTAATTCTCTTGTTCATATGAAGAAACGATAAAGAAATGAAAGATAGACAAAGGGAAACATTATGTTCTTCGTATGCAAAAGAGAAAATTGAAGTAAAAGTCTAAAAGGGAATGATAGAGAGAGAGAGAGTAAGAGATAGAGAGCAAAAAAGAGAATGAGGGAGAGTAAGAAAAGAAGAAAGGAAACTATAAGGAAGAAGGTCTGACGGACCTCACATGATGTCATTATCCGTCCACTTTTCACTCTCCATTCCCTTATATGGCAATCTGTCGTCAATGCTCAAAAGCATAGGCTCAATCTCCCAAATAGGATTGTTAATCAAGCACCTAGTTTTGAGTTGTTGATGACAATTTTCAAAATATTCTAATGTTTCCGTTAAAATCATATTATTTCAATAATGATAATTCTCAAGAAATTCCGCAGCGTCAGAGCTCTAGATGTGAAAAGCAGAACAGAGAGAGAGAAACAGAGAGAAACAGAGGGAAAGAGAGGAGGAGGAAGAAAGTAGAAGAAGGGAAAAGTAGAATTTGAAGCTTTCAGATGTTTATGAATATGTTTTGGTGATTAAATTGTGGGCATTTTAAGAAAATTGTTGGTTAGAGAGTGATTGCAAATGTGAAAGCTGGGATAGAGTGAGGTTAAGCGTAAAAGGTCTTAAGCGATAATCTCAAGAAGGCTGGGCAAATCTACTGTTCTTTATACGAACAAATTACATTCAAAAAGACATTTTTTTTTATTTCTGTTTAAATATCATGAATAGTACGAGATAGCTGGGGTATAGAGTAAATTGAACAAGTTTCTACCAGGTTTTGGCATTTTATGCAATCAGTTAAGCTTGTCAAAGCTTTCCTGAGATAAAATAAGGTTTTGATTGAAGTGGCAACGAAATGCGTTGCTCGAATAGCGGAAATTCGACTCTAATGAGACAAGAAAACAACAGATTTCAAAGCCAACGCAGAAGAGAAGATGAAAAAGAGAATCATCTGCTTGTCCTTATGCTAGTAGAACGAATGCGTCGACACCACAAAATGTTATCATTTCATGGATGTGGTCAGTAAAGAAAGAGGATGAACAAGAATATGTTCAAAATAAAGATGGATCGAAAACGACTTCTAAGAACATTGAAAGCAGTTTAATGAAGAAAATATGTTTGAGAGGGTTTGTTGTGAAATTGAGAGAGTTTTCTTTTTTTGTTTTTTCCCTCTTTCATCATGTTTTATGGGCAATCTCCGTTGCTTTTTGAGAATAAAGTACGGATGTAATGGATAGAAGAAGCTCAACAGGAAGGTGTCGACAGGAAAGAAAACGAATTATTTCATTTTTAAAATGTATATATCATATACTGATATGTTATATGTAAATGTGAGCTTTAAGTATGAAAAACGTGTCAAAAAAACCTTGAAAACAGGATAAAGATGAGATTGATGTGAAGTTTGAAGGGAAGAAGGTGTGGTAATATGAGATTTCAGAATTACAACGAGTCGCAAAAAAAAGAGAAAAAGAAGAGAAGATGGTGATAATTCAGTATGTTCATCTAATATTTCCATAAATACATATATCTTCTTTGTCTTGATCATTGAAAACTTTTTCTTTTCTTTTCTCTTCTTCATCAACTTCGTCTACTGCTTTTTGAGATCATCAAGTTATTGAGCTCATTCTGTTGAAAATATCATGCTGAGGAGAGTTTCATAATGAAAAATCATGAACAAGCTTCACCCTTTACGATCTTATGAGCTATGAAAATGAGAAAAGCAAATGATGGATGTCGAAGAGGATTCGACGATAAAACACGAAACGGAAGCTTTCGAGGTTCTTCTGAGATGTTACCAATAGCCTCTCACATATAAAAAAAGACACAAAAAAAACATTTTCTTTCCTCCATTCTCATTTTTTCTTTTTCTTCTTCATTCTTCCCATGTCTTCGTCTACTAATTAAAGTTTAGAGAAAAAAAATAATTTGGAAGACTTTTTGTGAATAAAAAAAAAAAGCAAAAAAAAACTTGGCAATTCACACCGGACATGCCTTTCATCCTCATTCAAGATTAAGGAAATGAAGGGAAAAAATATGAATTTGAAAACAAATATGGAAAGTTTTGCTTCTTCTTCTGTTTCTTTTGCTGTTGTCAGATGGAACTTCCAGCCTTATTTCCCTCCCCTTTCCCTCTCTCTATCCTCTCCCTCTCTCTCTCTCTCTGTATACGTATAGAAAATACATTGAAGTCATTAGATATGGATTTGATTCTCTTATTTCGAAAAAAAAAGAAAAATAGTGCAAAGCTGGAGTTGAATATTTTAATTTTTGTTAATTTTTGATTTGTAGGATCATTACAAGCTGTTTCGTAGAATTCGATAGAGAAGTTGAAGCATCACTAACTCGTCATATCTTAGACAGTTTGAAGCAACTTTCGTCAGTTTTTGATTAAAAATATAATTTGTATAAACTGATTAAAGTAATAGAGAGAGAGAGATAGAGAGAGAGAGAGAAGAGGAAAGTAAGTCTCCATTAGAATCTCTGTGAATTCCTTTTCAGGTCATCCTCATTCTCCGGGGAATGCTCTTCTCCAAGGAGAGAATTAGAACAACAATAACGACAAAGAAAATATGTTGAGAGAACGTTTTTCAGAATTGCAATTCAAGTCAAAACTCTTTTCATTCAAACGTATTTGCTTACAGACAAGCTGAATCTAAATTGAAGATAAGATGAAAAATAATTTTCATCTAAGTTGAAGTGAATTGTAAGTTAGAGATAAGAGTTAAGAAGTAGGAACAGAGATGAATAATGACAGGCTGAGTAAAATGACGACATGCAAATATCTATTGGTGGAAAATGGAAAATATAAAGGAACTATGCTGTGAACAGGAAGCAAAAAAAACCAAAAAGAAGCCGGCTGAGGTGTATGTCAGTGTGTATCTGTGTTTGTGTGTATATGTGTGTTGTAAGCAGAATTAGGCTTCATCGCTCTTATCTGAGAAACATCCGGATGCTCAGATGTTAACAAGGGAATTAAAATACAAATTGTAATGATGAGAAAAAAAATGTCTTCGAAATAAGACTTCTTTCATCTCATTATTGCTCTGGTAGACAACGAAGACGATAAAATGTTAAAAAATAGAATAATTTTTATTGAATTTCACGAGTTAGACTGAAGATGTACTTGAGTAGTTTGACAGAATGTTTGGGCTTTAACGTTCAAAGCAGTAGGACAGCTTTGATGATAAAAGTCGTAATATAGAAAAAGCTCTCCATAACAGAGTTTGTATCATCAAAGAGTCATTTAAATAGAAAGAACAAGAGAGAGCCAAAAGCAATGTAGACAGGGCAGGAGGGAGGAATGCAAAAGCTCAATGGAAAAGCTTGACAAAGGGCAAGAAGAGCATTAATCAGGTTGAACGATGACTCCTTTTTTCAATTCTTTTTCTTATCCTCTTAAGTGAGACACCAGTCAGAAAAAAAAACATTTCGAACTACAAAATTTCAATCAAATTAAATTTAAAAAACGGCATTAAACATGTCAGATTTGCGAGTGACTTTGGAAATTTCATGTTTTTTTTTCTTCAATTTCAGTTAAGGAGAGAGAGAAGAAAGGAGAGGAAGAAAGAACATTTCAGTTCATGTCGATAACAGTGTCATGAAATGAATGAAAAGCAGACAAAATACAACTACAAAATGCATTCTTCTCACTTACATCATCATGAGCTTCTTCCCTTTTTTTTTCTAAAAACATACATTCATCTCTTCACTCACACTCTCTCTCTCTCTCTCTCTCTCTGCATTTTCAACTCTTGCTAGTTTTGTTCCTTTTCCCTTTTTCCTTACAAACAGAAACACATGATATCATCAGAAATTTGGTTGATCATCTAGTTTATCAAACTTTTTCATCCAGCTTAACATAATTTTAAACTAATCATCAACATAGGCTAATTTTCACACGTAAGCTTTCACGTCAAATGTCAGCTGACATTTGTCCAATTCATTTTCATCTTCGGTGGCCTGACTAGCGGTTGCATTTACAATTTCAGACCAAAACCATCATTAACATCCGTGTTGAGGCAAGTTTGTAATTTGAATTAATTTAATTTTTATATTCTTATTTTTATGACACTTCATCCATAATCAAAGTTCAAGAAAATAAAAATGAAACTCACAACGACTTGTAGAGCAAACGGGAAAGTAACCACGACGCCAGCTTGAATTGTTTAAGAAATGACTATAAACTGCAAAAATCTGAAATATCATGAAACATTGTGAACGACAAAAACGAAGACAAATATATGAATTAGGAAAGATGACATAAAAAGATGTTACTTCTTATGAAATTTAATGAACAAAATTGATGAGCAGACAGATTCTGTCAGGAATCTGTCGGCATAGCTGATTGCTTGTGAAAGTAGTTGAGTATGGCCTCACAGTTTGTGTGTTGAGTGTTTGAAGAAAATAGGAATTAAGATTTTTAAATGGAATTTTTACGAAAAATATGTTTGGAGAGGCAGGCAGGAGGAAGTTTCAATTAATTAATTATTAGTAAGTAACATATAGTATATGTAAAGAATGTGATGAGTCAGAAAACAAGTAGAATAGGTTAATATGAGCAATAGAGAGTGAGAGAGAGGGAAAGAGAGATGGATAGAGTAGTTGATGAGAAGTGAATACGACAAAGATATAGAGAGATATAAATGTATATGAAAAGAAGTAGAGAGAGTTAAACAGAGGTTAATATGATATAGAGAGATAATTACAAAGTAATAATGCGAGTGAAAGCTGATTTTCAGCAAAAAGGTAGAGAGAGAGAGAGGTGGTAGAATGATCTAGGAAGTAGAATCTTCAAAGAGTTAAAGAGGAAGAGGTAGAGAGAGAGAAAGAAGAGACCTTATATGAATATATATATTTAAATATTCTTTTATATTATCTTATCAACTACTAATGAATTGAATGAAATTGTCATTGTCAATTGAACATTCGAATGTGATGCAAGTTTGTCAGGATAAAGGACATAAAAGGAAAATTATAATTTTCAGACACATATCGTACAATCTAATGAATGAAATATTATGCAAATTTGTAGAAATAAGAGAGAACGAGAGAAGCTTTGTTGTTGTTGGAAAGAAGTTTTTGTATTTTTTTTTCATCTCTTTTTCGAAACAAAAACTTATAATTTGGGAGAGAGAGATATGAGGGGCCAATTTGATGTTATCAGATAGACAACCGAAATCCATTTTTTGCATTTTACATGCCCACTCAAAGCTAAGAACGAACAAAATAAAATTCAAACATTCCAATAAACGTTCTGTTTTCTTTTTTTTTACCCTCTTCATCTAAATGAAGAAAATAAAGAGATAGAGAGAGAGAGAGTTTCCAAGTAGAAGAGAAAAACGAATAAATCAAAGAAAACATTTTTTGAGCTATGAAATGGAGCCATTGAATTTCCGTATCTTTACTTTCTCTCATCTCATATACGTGATCTGTCGTCGTCGTCGTTACGAATCAAAAAAAGAGAAAAAGAAGAAAAAAAGAAGAAAAAAAAATTTCTGAATTCTTAATAACCAATGGTGTTTTATGGATGAAAAACAAAACTAATCTGTTACTGACTGTTTCGTTCACCAATTTAGTCAAAAAGCGAAACATTGCTTTCTGTTTTTATTGAAAAAAATATTCTGAAAGAGGAGACGATTGAAGCTGTCAATATGACAAGTCGCACAGAATTTTGTAGAAAAGTGGGATTTGTCCAGCTGCTAAGAATTTCAAAGTGAATAGTTCAAGTACAAGCAGTAGATTGAGTTTAAGTTAAAAAAAAACAAATTTCATTAGTTTAATAAAGAAAGGTTCTGTTGTTTTGAAGTTTTGGAGACATTTGACTAAACAGTTGAGAGGTTGAAAGGGATCTGACGTGAGAAAGAGAATGGCAGTGAAGGAGAAAAAGACTAACAGAGGATAGCAAGGGAAAATGATAATAGAAGAAGGATAAAGATATTTGGGGAGGCAAAAAAGGAAAAAGAGAGAACTTAAGGAAAATATTCAGGGAGAATATTATGAATAAGGAGTAAAAATAGAGAGTTAGGATAGAAGTACAAAGAGGGATGTTTAAGGATGAGAACACTCCTAGAGAGAGACAGAAATAAATTTGTGAAAGAATTTATTTTTTGCAAACAGTTTGTAAGTATGAGAACAAATGGAATAACGTGTGTGTTACGAGGGGATTGCAATAAGTGAAGAAAGAGAAACATGAAAATAGAATGAAGAATATGAAGAGAGAGATAGAGATAGAGGAATAGAAAGATCATGAAAGTGATATATTAATAGAGAGAGAGAAAGAGACAGAGTGATAGAGAGAGTGGGAGATAATAATTCCAAGAAATTACAAAGTAAAGAAGACGATCGGCATGTGTACTTTAACTTCAGGACGATGGATTAGCTCGAAAAATCGGTTTATAATCCATGTATTTACACTTGGCGTCAAAATAAAAACAAAAATTGGATTCGTAATGGAGATCCCGAGAAGAAAGTTTTTTTAATTTTTTTTATTAAAAAATGAAGAAGAGTAGTATGTGATAAGGGATAGATGGAGAGAGAGGCAGAAAAAATTATTGAAAGAGCTTTGAATATAATGGTTGAAGAAAAAAGAAAGTCAGAAAGCAATAGAAAAAAAAAAGATTTTGAGAGAGGCTTAAGAAGGGACGGCAGAAAGTGTCAGAAGATTTTCACGTCAGAACGATTCTTCTTCTTTAATCTACGAAGAGATTTACAAAAAGCTTAAAAGAAACTGATGAATCAGATGATGGACTATTCGGTTACTAATAAACTTCTTATTCCATATAGTCGGAAGGCAGAAGGTTGAAAGGTGTGAAAAAAGAAAACAAAAACTTCAAATAGAGAAGCATAGATGATGTGAAAGGAGGAGAGAGAGAAGTAAAGACACAAATAGTTATTTAGAAACGAAAGCACAACAAACTTATAACTTTTTAAAACAAAAGATAATATTATGAGAAGCTGGAACTAGTTCACGGAATCGTTCATCAAACCATCTCTCCCTCCCTTTTTCTTATTTCTTTGTCGTTCTCTCCATCTTCTAGGCTATTTTTCTCTCGCTCTCTTCAAGCAAATCTCTCTCAATTCATTCAACTGTTCGAATGTTTTGATCAAACATGTCTTTTCCAACAAGAAGCCCAAGTTCAGTCAGTGAGAACTATCGAATTAGTAACGGAGCCAGGCCTTCTGCCTTTAAGGGGCTCATCTTCATCATTGACGTCTGGAGTTTCCAGAATCTGTTGTTGCTTTGCCCCCGTCTTCTTCCTCTTCCTTAGCATTTCCGTTTCCATATAAGGAAACCTATGGTTCAGTAACTTTTCATCTGATTGTCTTAACGAACAATCACACGAAGGTCTACATAGAAGCTTATGAAAAATAGATTTCAATGACTGTCAAACAAGAAAAACGTTTTTTTATTCAATTTCAACACAAATAGAACTTTTTTCTTGAAAAAAATTCTTTGAGCATAAGCTGAATGAAAAGGTTGAAAATCAAAACTTCATTGAGATTTATGAGAAACGTATTTGCTCGCAAAGTGTTTGATTGAAATAAGCACTTCACACAACTAATTATCTTTTTTGAATATTGAGAATTTAATGGCAAATTTTCTTTTTAAACCTACTTAGTTGAAGAAAAAATGGAAGAGGACGATCGAAAAGAAAAAAAAAGATTCAGGAAAAGAATGAGAGTTTTCACTATGAATAGAAGGTGAACTAGGAAGAATGAATGGGGAAACACTGGCAGTAAAATTAATAAAGTAAGCTTGGGAGGGATATTGAAAGTGAGAGAAGGTGGAGGAGTAGGTGAAAAGGACATCGTGATCTGATGGATCTTTCATAAGAATGAATTCTATGCTCAAAAAAAACTTTGAAGAAATAAGTTTCAAAGACAGATAGGAAGAATGTTATTCATAAGTTATTTGAGGAAGAAGCGGGCCTTCTAGCTAAGAATTATTGAAAGCTTCAGGTGGAAGAAACAAAGGGATGAGGTGCCAAAAAGAAGAAATAGATAGAGATTTTCTTTCTTTCTTTCTATCTCATACTCTCTGCATTCTCTCTTTATTCCTCACAAAGGTTTTTCTCTTTTCATCAGTTTTCAGCTTTTTGTTAGTTTGTCTCATTAACTAAGCACAAGCTTTTCGATGGCAACCTTAGTCGCTTTACAGATCAGCCGTTTTCATCGAATGTCATGTTTGGTCTTCATTTCTATCCTATTCTGTCTCTCTATATAGTCAGAACTCTCTCTTCTCTTCTATTGTACAAGGAAAACGCTGTGCGGGAATTACTCCATGACCACATGCTGTGATTTATTACGTCAAATGAGCTTTGAACTTTCATTAAGGATGACTGGAACTTTATATAAATTTTCGGGAGGTAAAATTAAAATGAACGTCAATCAAAGGTTAATAACGGATATTCCAAAAGAAAAAAAAATGAAGAACACAAGAAAATCTGAGAAGGTGGGCGAATGTGTCAATGAGCGCATTGAACGGACGGCTTCCATGAAAAGCTCGACTGCATTTAATCGCTTTTATTTTCTTTTTTTCTGTTTTCTTTTGAATTGTCTCTGTGTTTTTCCATGTCAACAGCAATTGGAACGAACAGAGTTCTTTGAAACAATTTAACTTTTGGATGTTTCATCGTGGTTGAGGAAAACAATAGAATCATAGTGACCACCAATAGACAATGTGTGCTTAAGTTTGTCTGATTGCTTTGATTCACCATGGATAATGACAGTTAATGAGATTTATGAGAGGAGATTCCAGCACTTCATGCAAATCATATAGATTGCGCAATTTAGGGAGAAGAAAAGGCTTACGAGGGAGAGAGCAAGCTGAATCAAGAGAATTGAGAAAGAAGAGATTCTGCAAGTCAGAGCATCAAATGAAAAGTTACAAATAAACGATACTAATAGGTACAGATATAGTAGTTAGAAGTTACAAATGTTAACTAATAGCATAACTAATAGTATAAAGCAACCGGGTACACAACTGCAATGAGAAGAAATGAAAATGAAACAAGATGAATATGATTTCACGTAATAATTCACGTGAAATGATGCAAATAATAATAAGATGAATACGAAGAAGAATGAGAAGGATTGAATCTCTTGGACGAAGTAGAAATGACGGAAGAACAAACAATCAACATAAACAATCGAAAAATGCTTTGATCATCTAATCCATTCATCCTACAGTCGCTTTGACCTTTGGAACTTTCTCAATTCAATAATAATATAAATCAATGCTTCTGCTCAATCAATCTAAACAATTCATTACCCGTACAGTCAGACAATATGTTGAAACATTATAAGTATGTATTCCTATTGCTTTTTCATTCATATCCAAAAATGGAAATATAATTATCAAACAATTGATTCTTTTCTTATTTCATTGACATTCGTCGATCCATAACAGATGATTTGCGTCTCAAGTATGCTACTGCTTGCACAAGGTTCTCTCCTTTCATTAAATTTCCATTTTTTAAAGACGAACTGAAACAATATAATATTTGAAATGTGAAAAATATGAAAAAATGGAGGAATTAAGCAATTCTGAAGCTTTTCCCTGATGTTACCCCCCCTCCCCTGTATACATCAATTGGAGTTAAGCTTTAAGCCAATCTGACTCTCTACTTCAACTATTCGTTATTTAAATTCCTTTTTTTGGTTTTTTTCTTCATTCCATTCCGAACTTTGGTTTTCTTCGTTTCTTCTCTTATTTTTTTGCTTTCGATCAGGAAAAGTTACCTTTCTCTGCGTTGTCTAAGATTTTCGTGACGACAAACATGTGGAACTCTGGGGAATACAAGTTAATTTCTGACTAATGATAGAAATGTTTACCGGAGAGAAGCGGATTTTCTTAAATATCGTGGTTCTGCACATCGTTCCAAGTCACTTTCGTTCAAAACCTCTAAGCCTTCAGCATTGGGTCTCACGATCTGTAAAGGAGGATATCAGTTCTGAAAGAAAAGAGTGATGTTATACTTCTAGTGTTGGAGTCAGAATATCGTATACGGAAGGCTGTGTTTGGGGCTCTAGATTTGGTTTACTTTCGATCTCACTCTTGGTTTCTGTTCTCATTTGCGTTTTCTCTAGTTCACGTCGGAGCTTTAACGATGAGAGTATATTAAGTCCAGAAGAATAGTCATACATCTGATAATGCCACAACTCCAATTAGTCTTCCACAATCCGTTACATAAGCTTTTGATAGTTGAAGCATTGAGAAGATTGAATGTATCTTGAAAAAGTGGTTGGATCTATTTTTAAAGTTTCAAAAGGAAAAAACCTTGTAGATACTCGTTCTTTTTACTAATTGGAAAGGTGCTTGATCGATGTCATCATCATCGAAAAGCAGTTCTTCTTCCAAGCGTTCAGCTTCCCATTCTTTTCTCTGAAAGTTTTCAATTCGTTCATTTTTTTGTTGAAAGAAATACCTCGTCTTCCTGCAAATCATATAAGAATGTCATTCGGTCGTCTTTCTTTATTTGACCGATGTGCATATTCTGAATATATTTTTTCGCCTGCTTGAAGTAGTCTGAAATACAATTGAGGAATAATGTTTAAAGACACATTATCACTCTTCACAACATCCTGATAGTTATTTCCTTGAGCGTGAATGGTGGAATGAGCAACTCGAGAAGTAATAGAATGCACTTCATCATCGTCATCTGAAACCAAGAATGAACTTTTCGAATATGTTTGGCGTACCTCTTCCATAAACTTTTTTCTCATTTTCAAGACTACAGAATGCGTTTCTCCTTCCAATAGAGCCTCGTCGATCTTGTGATACTTTCGGAGACGAGCCCATTTGGATGTATTCATCGTCTGATTCTGATGTAGTTCTTGGTTTTTCAAAGTCTTCTGAAGTGATGGTTGGAACTACGAGGAATCTTAGAACAAAATTAATTTAATCGTTTGATGTTCATTTAAAAGCACCTATTCAACTTCCGTTCAATTTTCAGCTGATCACCAAAAGAATGGGTACGAGGAATTATTGCTGAACACTTTGAATTTAGAGAAACAGCTGATCGCGTGCGAGGCGGAGGCTTTTTGTTAATCTAAGGAAGGATTAGGGTAGGAAAAATACTATTTTTTAAAGATAAACTTCGCTTTTTGTGTTTTTAAAGTGTTGATCAATCGTTTGTATAGCTTGGCGCACCCGTTGTTCAGCTTCTAGTTTCCGAGCTGTGTCCCCGACATGAGTTTTTAGGAGTTCAAGTAACAGTCTCCTGGACACTGTTCCTATCATAATTTGGTTTTCTGAATGGAGTCAATCAGCTTTTTTGTTGATTGATGGAATGAAGGTGGTGTGAAACTCACCATGTGTATCGATAACAGGGAAAATTCGGAACTCTCTATGCTCCAATAACAACCTTTTCAGTTCCGAGTATTTAGTTTGGCGAGTCACACTTACAACTGTAGACGTCATGATATCTTGAGCATAAGTAGAATGAACCCTGAAGATCGGTTGTTTTTTTCCGGAAATGTGTATATTCAAAAGCATACATAGGACTATTAGGAGGAATATCTGGTAGAAAGGGTAAATGTTTGATCTTGATGATGACGTCAAAAAGGGATGGCTGAATGAAAGCACAAACAGCGTTAGATATGACTACTGATATCTGAATATGATTAAGCGTTTCCTTTTTGTTTCAAGTTATATTCACCATAACAGGTAGAATTAAGTACAATTGACCAGTTATTTCGAGAATCATCATTGAGACTGATACAGAATGAGTTACAGATGCCGAAAAACTCGCCGATCCTTCAAATTTAGTTTTTATTTGAACATTTGTTAGTTTTTCTCACCTACGACAGCATAGACGCCAGGATAAAACTGAATATCACTCATTAATCCTCTCGGAATAGATATGTAAATCATCTGCAATGTTAGCCTTTGGTTCTGCATGTTCTCTAAAACAAACTTCTCCATATAGACGACCTAATGCCGCTCCAATGGTAAAAACGGGTCCAAAAACACCTGAAGGTATGGGCAACGACAGACATAGAATAGAGAAGACAGTCTATAAAAGGCTGTAAGAATCACAAATATGGTATAAGTTTACGTTAACAGAGATAAACAATCCTAAAATGCTCAGAACATGATCAGATGATCCATACCAATTCAAGTCAGTCAACCGCTCACAGTATTCTTGCGACTCAAGGGGAGCTGTGAAAGTACAATTGCTAAAAAAGTCTTTTAAATTCATCCCGAATTTCACCTAAAATTGAAAAAAATCATGATGTAATTTCAGTTCTCACAGTACTCTTCCTGTCATGTACTGTCCCAGACCATAACGATACATCAGAATTCCATACGATACAGAAATCACGATGGGATAGAAATACCAACTGAAGTTCAAATCTCTTGAGTTAGAAATACAAACTTTCAAACTTACTTTCGTTGGAATAACTTTTTAGCATAATAGTTGTTTCTCAAAAAAAGAACTATTCTCTTATATAGGTTTATATAGAATGATCCTAGTAAGCCGCATAATAGTCCTAATAAGGCAAAAACAGGAAGCTCTTGAACGGTAAAAGCATGAGCCGGGAAGTTTGTTTGTTGAAAAGCATTAACGTTCACTGCAAACAGTTATTCACACAATATAAATAAATTTGCATAAAAAAAACAATAGATGAAAGAACTAAAAAGTAAAACATATTCAGAGCGATGAAAAGTGTGGGAGAGAGTAATGGAGAGAAATAGGCTTAACGAGAGAAGGATGAACAGAACATTTTGAACTCTCTCGATATCGTTTACAAAACGTGATTATAATCGTTAGCAGATTTGCAATCTGACTGTCGCTGATGTTATTTCAGATGTTGTAGGTATAACAGGATTATAGAGATGAATGTTCAACATACACTGTTCATCATCGGTAGCAGACATATATCCTCGTAAGAGTCGAATTGTTGTAGCTCCGCAACAAGCAGCAAAAAAGCCTCTCCAATACGATCTTACAGAAAAATACATTGTTGTAACTTCAATAGAGAATAAAACTCCTAAAAAAGGAAAATATTCTGTTTGAATGATAAAAAAATAGTTTTGTTAATCAAACAAATATTTGCTTATTCTCATCCATTTTTTTCCATTCATATTCAATTGACGGCAAATCCTTGTTCATTGATTTTGCTCAATTCTCAATCAACCCAAATGTTATAATAGGAATGTTGTACTTCTTGTTTTTTTATCTTTTCATTCCAAGCATTAGTCAAATCTGTGATGAGAATGGACTGAATGTAAGTGAGATTGATGTTTATATGAACAAGTTTCTTGTTTCATTTTAGAATTTAATGAATAATCGATATTACTGTGTACCATCACGTAGACGATGTTATGCTTTCAATTTTTGTGATCCAAAAAGACCATCAGTAGAATCTTACTTCTCTGTTTTAGCTGCATGTCATAAAGAGTGTCAGTATGGTAAGCATCAATCATTCTATATCGATCATCATGATAGTTCCTTTGCAGGAGAGCTGGAAACGTTTTCGCAAGCTGAATGTCCAATGTTTTATTCTGAGCAAACAGTTCGAGGTCAAAACTACTCCATTACAATCAGAGGAAGTAACTGTTCTCATTCATTCTGTGATTATGGCGAGTGTTACTCGAATGAGCAAGAAGCTGTTTGTTGCGAAAATTATTTGAATAAACTGATTAGCTAGGTTATCTACCACTAGTTCACAAGTCATATGAACGAATGAATAGTATGACAGTCATCTAACATACTATTGACACATTCCCTAGTCATTCTCAAGATCATTCTGGTCTCACCAGTGTTACTTACTTACCTCTAAATCTTTCTCACTGTTTTATTTGTTGAAAACCGTATAGTATAAATCATAGAACTGACCTCCAACTGGAGCACTGAACGTACAAGCTACTCCAACTGCACAGGCTGCTGCTAAACATTCGGAACGTCTTTGCTCATTGTTAAACGTTGGCTCAATCCATGCTGCTATTTTTGACATTTGAGTTGAAAGTACAGAAGAAATATGTACGAATGGTCCCTTCAACAGTTGTTTTCAACTCTTTTCCTACTATCTATCAACTAACCATTTTACCAATAGGAACTCCTGAGCTTAAAGATAAAGAAATTCCAATAACTTTTGAAATAAGTGTTTTGACAGTAAGGTAATCTTTCAATATCACTCCACGCATTATAGTTTTCATTTCAGGTAGACCAGAGCCTAGTTTATAAGCTTTCATAACTTCATAGCTTGACGCTTACCAATTGCCTGTGGTGAGATATAGTGAACGCAACATGCAGAAGCTAAGATTAATCCAACAATAGTGCCTATGATTTTCTTTAATAATTGTTTGCATCAAATTTTGTTTACCTAAGTAGGCAGATAGTGAAATGAACCAATAAAAGAAATTTGGATCATCCCATCCATTTGCCAGTGTCAATGTGTTCAATTGCACTGAAAATTGGTAAATCGTACTTTGTTTTAACCAGTACTCTGAATGAAAGATGTAAAACAAAACTAGAAGTAGTATGACATTTGGTAATGAAAGTGAAATTGGATTTTAAATGAAAAGAGAGTGAGAGATAGGTGTAGGAACAACCGTGCTCCACGTGATTATCATATGAAATGCACATAAGTACTGTTCGCGTAACTCTTCTCGTGCGCGTCCACGTGAAAATTAGAATAATAATCTCACCCCTATAACTTAATTTTACAATTTCATCAACAGCTGTAGATAAAAATCCAATAGAGATCCCTAATATGGCTAAGAACAGCCAATCAGTCAAAACCAGCTTAGCAGTTGCTAGCTTAGGTTCTTAAAAGAATGCATTTTTCTCAAATTCTTAATTATTACAAAAACAACCTGTACAGTTACGTATACGGTCAAGAGCTCCTCTGATCATTGGAGGAGGCTGTTTCTCATCCGAAAAGTTCATTGAAAGATGTTCTTGCTCTGTGAACTTGACATTCTTCGGCTCTTCATTCTTTACTTGAGAAGAACTTTTGCGGATGTTGGCTATTCTCTGCAATTGATGAGAACATAGCAAATCATAACTGAGATGAGCATAGAACATACAATAGTCTCCTCATAAAAATAATCATGTTCAAGCTTCTTGAGTTCTTTTTTCAATTCATTATCCATATTAGGATAGATGGAATGAGGAAGAAGAGGCTGAGTCGCAGACTCCGCGACAGATCGTTCGTGCTTACAAATTGAAATGTTTAAATCTTAAGATTGATATAATAATAATAATAAAAAATGATAAAAAAAACAGTTAGTGTGTACAGAGAGCTATCGTAACACAGCGAATGGAACAGTCAAGTTCATATTTTTAATAAGATTTGAATTCATTTGATGACACACCTAAGCTTACATGTGTGCATGGAAAACTACGCAAGAGTGAACAGCAACAAAAAAAAATTTTTTATCATAAATTTCGGTTACATAAACTCTGGATGGAATTAAATATTCTCTTTCCTAAAACATACAGTCACTCTTACCGAGCTATCCCTCATTTTTTCAATTTGTTCTCAACTAGATAGAACTTGTATATGGCCTCGTCGATGAAAGTTTTGCATAAAAAAATGTTTCGATGACGTATACCTTGTCGATTCTGTGATATTTTTTCTCGGACAGT